GTTCAGGGTCTCATTACTAGATTGGACTCGTAGTGATCGGCCTGTTTACAGCCTCCCAAGAGCTGGGATTATAGGTGCGTGCCGCATGCCCAGTCTCAATTGCTGTTTCAGTGTATCCTGGGGGCAGGGCCCGCACAGCAGGCCCGGGGATTGAACCGCCTGCTGCAACATCCCCACATGGGCTTTAACGCGTCTTATTATCTCTGCCATCGATGGTTCCCTTCATACATGAGAAGCTTCTTAACATATCTGGGATATGTGGCTGTTCTTAATTCAACCTCTCTGTTATTCGTTACCATGCTGGACAGAGCACTGGTTCGCCTGTGTCGTCGTGTGCAAATGCATCACCTTTCTTGTAATTTAGGGAGGGGTCTTCAGGGTCTCACTACTAGGTTGGACTCATAGTGATCTTCCCTCCCAAGAGCTGGGATTACAGAAATGTGCCACCACACCCAGTCTCAATTGCTGTCTCAGCGCGCTCCGGGAGCAGGCCCGGGAATGGAACCCCCGGTCCCTGTACCTCCTTGCAGGCGCTTTAATCCGCTGAGCTATTTGTCTGGCCCTTTTTGTCAGAATGCTGTCTTCTTAAGATCTGAGTCTGCTTTGGTGGAGCAACAGTGCCCTGGTTGGTTTTGTCCCTGAGCTGCCTGCTCGGCTTCCCCTCTTCCCTCTTCTTTTTGAAGTCGCCCCATTTCCAGCTCTTAGATGCTGAGCCATCACTTTCCATCTGGCTGGGATTTTCTCTGCTTGTTGAATTTACTGTTCGCTGGAATTTGCCTGTTGGTCCTTCGTCCCCCTGTTGCTCTTCAACAGTCTCACACCCTTTCCCCAGGTTTTATGGCACTTTCTTCAAGCTTCTTGGATGTAACCTTAGCTTCCCTCTTCAAAACTTTCTTGGGGAATGTCTTGGAAGAACTGGAATCACTGTTCCAACTTGCTTTTCTCTTGTGAGGCCTTTCTGCGCCGTCCTGTGCGCTTTGTTCCCCTTCCATGGTAGCAACTTGGCGAGCAAAAGCCCAGGTCCGATGGAGTCACAGCTGAATCCGCACACGTGCGCTGCGTGGGACGCCAAGGGCCGATTGTTTGTCTTTTTGAGCGAGCGTCCCACTGTGCAGCAGGCTCACTTTGTAGCCCAGGCTGGTCTCAAGCTCACACCGATCCTCCTGCCTCCGCCTGCCAAGGGCTGGGATTGCAGACATGCGCCACCACACCAGGCTCCCTTGAGTTACTCTGGACTTCAGCAGGAATGTGGTCAGTGTTTCATCAATTAATTTAAAAGTGCTTTTTTTTTGGGGGGGGTGAGGGAGGGAAGGGTGCCAGAGCTTGGGCCTGTAGCTTCGAGCCTGCTACACATGTATTTACCACTGAACCACATCCCTGGAGCCTAAAATGCATTCTTTCATTGGTGATTTGAGTTTTATCATTGCTGCTCTAACAGTGCTTCTGTTTATTTTCTTGTGTCTAACATCTCCAGTCCATGGTATAAATCCTTGAAAGCCTGTTTTCAGCACATCCACCTTATGAATTTTCCCTGTGGGTAAACGCAGCTTTCTTTTTCTTTTCTTTTTTGCGGAACCAGGGATTGAACTCAGGTCCTTGCACTTGCCAGGGAAGCACTTATTCCACTAAGCCGTCTCCCCGGCCCCATTTATTTTTCTTTAAAGGCAAAACCCATGAAAAATTCAAGAACCATTTTGAGCTGCTTTCACAAGGCTAACAGTAAAAAGTTTTAATAAATAATGGTTTAAGATGCAACCAAACAAAACAAAAAGTGGAGCAGCGCGGGTGTAGGCCTCTCTGCATGGCTCACGGCGCCCGGCTGCAGAAAGTGAAGCCGCTGCTGCTGGGCTGGGAGAGCAGAGAAGAAAGGGCGCTGCGGGCCGCCCGGCGTTCCAAGAGAGCCGTGAACTAAATAATGCAAAGTGTGCGTAAAGCTCTGACTTGCCCTCGCCTCATCACGTTAAAGTAGAAATATTTTTTAAGGAGGCAACAAGTTCTAAAAAGACTGAAGAATACTTCCTTGGTCAGGTTTTGTTTATCAAGGCGATTGCTACCAAGATTGCTAACAACGAAGGAGACCATGTCGGCAGAAGCCAAGAAGGTTTGGAAATGTCCAGCAAAGAGTCGTGCTTAGATGTTGTTTGAGTTGCAAGGCAGGAAAAAAATTCTTCAACCTTCTACAAATAAAAAAAGTAATTTTCAAAGGACTAAGAGTCTGCGTGTTTTCTGGCTTATAACATTAATACTACACGCTGTGGAGGTGAATTTAGAGAAAGTTGTCACAGGGCTCGGGAAACATTTCTACCATTTATTTCTTGAAAATTGACCACATGGGTGTGGCGGTACACGCCTGTCATCAGGCACTCAGCAGGCTGGGGCAGGAGGACCTCTGCAAGTGGAAGGCCACCGTGGGCTACAAAGGGAATTAAAGGCTGCACTGCATGGC